AAAGGAGGCCTTCCAGGCTCACAAGAGGCCACGGGAAACATGAGCTCAGAGAACACAGGATGTGTCAGTATGTTTATAAGACAGAAGCAAATCTGCTCTCCTGGGACCCTAGTTATGTCAGAAAAAGACTGGGAGGGAAGATGGCATGCAGCTGGGACAAATTATGGAGGGTCAGTTCACACTCAGGGTGGAGAAGACAGTTAAAGCACTCAGCTGCAAACCAACAGGTTGGTGGTTTGAACCCTCCCAGCAGCCCCACAGAACAAAGGCCGCTGATCTGCCTCCATAAAGGTTACAGCCAAAAACACTCCACGGAGCAGGTCTGGTCTGTTACACAGGGTCGCAAGGAGTCGGAATCAATGCAACAGCGATGGGTTTGTCCTCTTCTGGTGGGTGAAGGGTTCAAAGACAGGGATGGGTGGGTAAGCAGTGGGAACCCAAGCAGGGGCACATTCAGGGCAGTGAGAGAAGGCAGCGGTCAGGGGGCTGTAAGTACACCTGGGCCTCCATGAGGGCTGTCAGGGAGCACTGCAGACACGGTGAGGGACCCTGGGAAGGGAGCGTGGGGAAGACTCGGGTTCCAGGCCTGCTCCCTCACCTGGGAGAGAGAGGAGATGGGGGCTTAACACACTATAGGACTGTCAGACTTCTCATTTTCAAGACCAAACAAAGAGCTATTCTCAAAGCGGACGCCCAAGCCTCTTGTGGAGACAAGCACCGTGTGCATCCCACAGGCCTAAACGTGGCAGTGCATCTGAATTACCGGGTAAGAAAGGTGACTTCTTCTTCACAACCTTCCTCTCCTTTTTGTCCAGCTTTTCTGGGCTCTCCTGGCCCTTCTCTTGCTCGGTGTCCGTAGGCTCCGCCTGCTCGCCAGACACACTGGTGACGTCAGGACTCTGGATCTGGGTTGTGGACGTCTTGGTGTGGCTGGAGTCGTTCGCGTGAGCTGCAACTGGAATTGAAGACAGCCCACTGTTTTCTAAGGCTTGCTGAGACAGAACAAAACGGAGAGGTTAGAAGGTGTGGCGGCCCACACACGCCTGCCAAAGGGGAGCAGAGATGGGGCCAAGCCTCAGCTGAGGCTCACGGTGTGCTCAGCAGGAGCACCGAGACCACACTTCCCAGTGGAGACCGGCACTGACACTAACAGCCCTTTCCCCAGCCAACACCTGCCTCCGAATGGCAAGACTCGCATCTCCATTTCAAGGGGAATTAAAATGAGGTCACCTGATTTCAGAAATCTCATCACAGACAGTGTAGTAGTGGTTAAGCCACTTGGGGATCACTGTTTGAGGACATAGATGACACTGGGTTTTTTTCACCGTTAAGATATGGGTAGTGTCCTGAAGTTCTGATGTCCCTTAGACCCTGGGCCAACTTCCCACCACAAATGTGTAGGAGGTTGGATTTTTAAACAACAAAAGGAGAACAAGTGAAGGTTCTCTGTTTCCACTGAGGAGTGTGTGTGAGCAGAAAACCAGGCACCGTCTAACCCTGCCCTCCTCCTCGTCACCGTGTCTGCACGAAATTCACTTACTGAAAGAGAGAATCTCTCTCTCTCTGTCTGTCCCCCCACTCGGAACCATGAGAATGTGTGACTGTCTCAGCAGAGTCCCACCTGGACACCAGGAGAGAACAAAGTGCTTCTCGTCCTTCATCACCAGGGACAAACTTGTAAAAGGCTTTTCTTTTCAGATTCCCTTAGAGGAAGAAACGGGGGCTTGACAACATTCCTCATGTACAGACTGAGAATCTGTTAGAATGCTACACTGTCCACACATCATCAAACGAGCAGACTTGGTCTTGTGGATTTCTGTTCAACTCGGACATGTTTTGGGGTTAAGTCCCTGTGTGTGATGTGTCGGCACTGAGGGTGGGACACTGACAGCATGTGGGACCCTCGGGTCAAAGGGGCATCGCCGCAGGGCGGGCTTCACCTGCAGGATGTCCTGGTTGATGCCCACCGTGATGCTCAGCTGCTGGCTAGGCTGGGGCGACGGGCTGGCATCGCCGGTGCCTGGCTCTGACAACTCGAGGAGCTGCTGGATCACGTCGGTGACACCCTGCGAGCCCTGCTGGCTGGACGAGGATGTGACCTGGGCTTCCGTCTGCTGAAGAGGCAAAGTCTGAAAGAGTGTGGCCTGAAACACAGCAAGACTGTCACTGAAGAAATGAAAGATCACACTGTTACAACTTCCATCTTTCATTTAAAACAAAAAGCAGCAGCACAGTGGTACCCCCTCGTGAACACTCAGATCTCCCAGCACCCCAAACACAAATATTTAGGGCCACCTCGACTGCCTTGTTGGGCACGGGACTGACTGTTAGAAGAGCAGCTCAAACAACTCCTCTGTAGCAGTTTTTAAAAGCTGGCTTGTTTTTTTAACTGTTTTGTGTTTGGGTGACAGTTTACAGAGCAGACTGGTTTTCCATCAACAAGTCATACACATTTTCTTTTCTGACACTGCCTGCCATCCCCACCATGTAACAGCACTCCTCCCACTTCCCCCTGTGGTGCCGGTCCCCTCCCCTCCCTCTCCTGCCTGAAGGAGCTCTCTCCCTGGGCACACGCTGCCCTTCGGTGCTCTGTGGCTGACCATTCTAAGGAGACCTGTCCCCCGGTGTCACCGCACAGACCTGTCCCCCGGTGTCACCGCACAGACCTGTCCCCTGGTGTCACCGCACAGACCTGTCCCCTGGTGTCACCGCGCACCGCACAGACCTGTCCCCTGGTGTCACCGCACAGACCTGTCCCCTGGTGTCACCACACAGACCTGTCCCCCAGTGTCACCGCACAGACCTGTCCCCTGGTGTCACCGCGCACCACATAGACCTGTCCCCTGGTGTCACCGCACAGACCTGTCCCCCAGTGTCACCGCTCACCACATAGACCTGTCCCCTGGTGTCACCGCACAGACCTGTCCCCCGGTGTCACCGCACAGACCTGTCCCCTGGTGTCACCACACAGACCTGTCCCCTGGTGTCACCGCTCACCACATAGACCTGTCCCCTGGTGTCACCGCACAGACCTGTCCCCCGGTGTCACCGCGCACCACACAGACCTGTCCCCCAGTGTCACCGCACAGACCTGTCCCCCAGTGTCACCGCACAGACCTGTCCCCCAGTGTCACCGCTCACCACATAGACCTGTCCCCCGGTGTCACCGCACAGACCTGTCCCCCGGTGTCACCGCACAGACCTGTCCCCTGGTGTCACCGCGCACCGCACAGACCTGTCCCCTGGTGTCACCGCTCACCACACAGACCTGTCCCCTGGTGTCACCGCACAGACCTGTCCCC